GAACAGTGTTCACTTTTTATTCTTTGAGGGAATCGACGTCAGTTGCTAAGGTAAGACTGTTTAGGTAGTGGCCCTGTGAGGACTCATTTGCTTCTTGCCTACAAGTCCTGGGACTCCAAAAGCCATTAAGCTTGGTGACTGGGAGGTCAACGATCCATGTTTGTAGCTAGGGATCCTGTACCATCTGGATTATTTTACAAAGCACAGGATTTGCCATCCAGTATGTTGGTGGAAGAGGCTCCTGGTGGGTAAAGCTCACCCCAGAATGAAGTCACTGGTTTTGTTTGTTTGGGGGTTGGTTTTTTGTTTTTGTTTTTTGCAGAATTATCAATAGTCAAGTAAACAAATTTATTAAGTCCAACAGCAGGTTACCTTCCAAATAAAAAAGTGACAATAATGTGTGTAACAAGTTAATTAAAAAATTCAAGGAGCCATTTGGAGAGTGCAACAGTGCAGAGAATAAAAATCAAAGTATTGACTTTTGTCAACAAATTTGTACAACTTCAAGAAACAGACACACTGGTCACAAACCAAGAGGAATCCACGAAGGTGGAGGGTCGCATGAGCAGTGGACTCATCGCCTCAGTGGGTTAAGGCAGGGCATCTTACTTGTAGGACAACCTACCCACGCCCCGTTTGCCTGTTGCTTCCAGTTCCCCCTTTAAAACCTAGAATCTTACTCATTAGTGCAACAGGTAAGAGCAATTAATAACAGACTCGGGGCTGGGACCGGGGTCAGAGGGAAGACACTTCTCTCAGAATAAATGTGTGTTGGGAATAAAGCCACAGCAGCTGCTGAACAGCTTGGGCAATATCCAAGGTTTGTGTTGAAAGTTCCTACGAGGGAAGGTGGGTGGTTGGAAGAGCAGGCTCAGTTTCCAAGAAGAGAGATAGGGAGGAGGATGTGATGCCTTAGCACCTGACTCAGAAGCAGAATCTGATGGTTACTCAATTTTGTCTTTCAATGAGGAAAAACACCTGCAGATCCTCACTGTAACGCAGTGCCAGTCAAGGTGAACCTGGATATGTGCTATAATTACAGCTTAGCAAAGGAGTAAACTCTGAAGTGGAAGTGGGTGGGAACCCCTCTATATGAATCAGAAAACAGACTGTGCATTCAGAGGAAGATCAATGTCACGTGTTCTCAAATGAGTCCCAATTAACACTTTAATGACTTAATAGTCCTTTTAAGTCCGTCTTCTTTAAACAAGATACTGCTGGAGTCCCCCAAGGAAGACCTTGTCAATTACCAAGATGTTCAGGTCATCACTAACCAAACATAAGACAGAAATGGCAAAGCGGGCTACTACAGCAAAACAGCAGCTTTCTCCCAGCCCTTATAATTGTGTAATTGGGTCTACCTTTGGGCTTCACTGCACTGAAGACTTGACTTTAAATGGGGCAAGCCAAACACAGTCCTAAATACAGATCTTCTGTTTTTTTAAACCTATACCAGGTCCTTATCCCAGTAATTTCCTACCGTTGTTTAAATTTGGCATGGTATAGTATATGAGGCCATCACGTGAACTGTGGAGTCCCACACCCTGCAGGCTCCAGCACTGAGGACTGAATTTTGCCACCAGTCCTTGGGAGATCCGTACTGTTTAAAAGACCAAAAATAATGTGTGGCTTAATCTTTCTTTCTTTCCCAAAAGGCTAGTTTGTGCCTTCCTTAGGGAAGTTTAATATTGAAAACACTGCCTTGTACGTTTTCTATTGGATTTCCTTGGGCCTGAGGGCTTGGTTGAAATTTGGATCTTTACCCAGCTCTCGATTTTTTTTCTTATCAGAAGGGCAGAAATGGGATCTTGGACCCAGCTCACACATGTGAGCACATCTGGCAGGGAGAACTACTGAGGCAACTAGCTGAAGCATAGCAAAGTGTCATTACAGGAGGCAGGGCTAAGAATGATACATTCAAATTTGGCAGGGATAGGGGAAGAGCAATTCAATGAAGCACACTTCATCTCATACAGCTTTCTAATCAATTGCTAAAGAAATACCACAGAAGCTCACACACAAAACCACTGCCAAGGGCTTCCCTGGTGGTGCAGTGGTTGAGAGTCCGCCTGCCGATGCAGGGGACACAGGTTTGTGCCCCGGTCCGGGAAGATCCCACATGCCGCGGAGCGGCTGGACCCTTGAGCCATGGCCGCTGAGCCTGCGCGTCCAGAGCCTGTGCTCCGCAACGGGAGAGGCCACAGCAGTGAGAGGCCCGCGTACCGCAAAAAAAAAAAAAAAAAAAACATTGACAAAAAACAAGCAATTTCCCAACATATTCAGTTTGTTGTAGCCACTCTGATATTTGCCTATTTTCAAAATGGTATCCACATCCTGCCCCTCTCCACACCACCACACCACTCTGGTGTCATATTGTTAAAGTGAAGGGTGCAATGGCTTACTTGAGGGGCATGTATTGACCTCTTCAACTCATTGAGTGAGCAATTACTGCTCACTCATTAAGCAGCAAACCTATCTCTAGGTGAAGAGGAACAGGGACCTTTCATTTCCCACAAGTGCAACTGCAAACCCTACACACACACACTACCGTGGATCCCTCTGCAGAAAACTGCTTTTCATGAGAAAGTTAATGAGCACTGGCCCAGGCTACTGCAGAAGCTTGAATTCCTTGCATTAAAGACTCAAACCTGGAAGGAAACTCCCTCCCTGACCATTCCCTTTTCAGGCTTCTAATTTGCATTTTTGTAACAGACCATTAAATATATAACCCAAAATAATTTTTTTAATGGTTTTTTTGTTGAGGAAGCTGAAGAGCTGAATTAAAACAAAAAACCACCCATCATAGCACACCTAATGCATGGAATCATGCCTTCTTATAGGCTGGGGAAAGAATCCAGTTCCTCCAGAGTCCTCAGGATATTCAGCATCTACCTCTTTTGTGCCCTTCTCTCCATACACCCTTCTGATCTGAGACAGAAAAAGCCTTACCTGGCTAGGAGCAGCCTGCCTTTACCCTTATTCAACCTCTACCCAATCCAGAATTGGGAAAAACTGGGGGTTGCACACTGACTGGATGAAAAGGCAGTCTTGTTAACACCTCACTCTAGATGCCCTGACTACAGTTGAGACACAGAACCTGCTAGGACCTCTAGAAACTCTTTATACAAGGGTGTCTTAGGCTAGAACAAAGCCAGACATCTGGACTGGGACCCTCATCAGCTTTCCAGCAGTACTGCCAACCTACTATGGCTGACTTTAAAGTTTCCCATCCATCCCTCTAAGGAGGGGCAACTGTCAGGGTTAGGATTCAAAAAAGAAAATCTAACTTCAAGTATGCTCCCTATTGTCAATACCAATTTTAGAAAAACATCGACTGCAGAAACTCCTTAAATCATTTGTAAATATGGGAGCCCAGAGCCATAGGCTACTAATAAAGGAACTCAAAATAAGTGATTCCTGCCCAGGCTGAGAAACATATACCGGGGAGGGAGATGGGGGTAATTTGGGGGAGAAAACTCCAAATGTTTAATAGACAAACTCTTCATTACCTCAAGAGTGTAAATATTTTTTTATTTAAAAGATTCCCTTTTCAATCTGTTCCAAAGTGTTGGAAGCTGAACAGTACAAGTTCCTGCCACCCACCCTTCCAGTACAGTTTTATGAGGACATTTTTTTTTTTAATGGAAAAATAACAAGAGGACCCTCTACTGAAACCAGGTAGGACCAGAGTCAGCTCCTGTGTGGCAGTTTGGCCAAAGCTGGCCTTACGGAGCGAGCACGCAGAGGAGTCTGGGGAACTGGGACTCTCTCTTGTGAGGAAAAGGCTGAGAAAATTAATCTTCTCTTTAATGAAACTGGTCCAAATTCTGATTCAAAAGCCTCCATTATGATGTTCCCTGGCACTCTTATTATACTATATATATTGAAGGCTCCCTTTTATAGCCAGTTTTAGCAGGCAAAGAAACAAAGAAATATAGATACATATATGTGTATATATATATATTTTATATAGGTAAAATATATACATATCTTATATATGTATATATACATATTTGGGGGTAGGAAAAGGAGAGGTGGGTCATGTAAACCTAAACAGTCATCACATTACCCCAAATGAGCCTGACATTAACAAAGAAGAAAATAAATAACTTCTGGGGGTTAAGTGACAACATGGGTGCAGCAAGAAGGGAAAGGGCACACGTTTTAACTATTAAATACATTTTTATATTTGTTTGGCAGAGTTCAAGCCAGTCCAGGCTTCTGCACTTGCCAGACAAGTAAGCTGATGATACTCAATTAAAAAAAAATTCAAGCAGAGCTCCATACCACAGTTTTCCTTCAAGTCAGTTGGCCGGCAGGCACAGTTTTCTGACCCCCAGGAACAGAAACTTTGGCTCCAAGGCAAATGAAAAAAAAAAAAAGTATTTCCACTTACAACGTGAAAATACAGAAAGTTCATCAAAGAAAGAAAACTATCAAAGTCTACTTCCAGCAAAACTGAGGTAGCACTGCTTTCTCTGCATTCAATGCTTAAGTGGTTCTCAGTACAATGTGTTCTAAAAAAACCCGCTCACTTGACTGACAGGTGCAGCATGTTGATGGATAAACTCAACATGAAATGCAATAGGTCAAAGAAGGAATGAGCAAGAAGTGAGGAAAATAAGGGTTCCAGATAAATTAGCTTAAAAGGGGGTTGTCACCAGACTACAAATGCTCTTGGCTGGCCTTGGCTCTCCAAGAGCTTTAAATCGCCTGGGAATTAATGCAATGTGGTTAACAGTTAACACTGTTATTCAACTCTGTGTAAATCTTTAAAAATAATTATTACAACCTAAATTCAACGATGTAAACAGCACTACACACAGTACAGACCTGCCCTGAAAAACAAGAATATGCAAAACTGAGATCTGGCACTGTATCGTTTTGTAATGATAATTCAACCTAACTGTCCCATTCCCCCCTCCCTGCTCTACACCCTCCCCCACCCCCCAAAAAAAATCTAATTTGTGCAATAAATATCAAGCTTATTCGACCTGAAGGCTTAAAAAAAAAAAAAAAAAAAAAGATACACAACATGTAGCCAGGTTCAGATATTTTGGGGGACCCTCCCCCCAAAAAAGAAATAACCAAAATACCCAAAAAGTGAAGAAAGTGCCTAAAACATGATACAGCATTTTAGAGCCCTTTCAGATACAAGGCAGAGAAAGGTGTAAAGTAGAAAATATCCGGATCTTCAGTAATTTCCAGAAAGGTTCAATTCCTTGGTTGGCTGCAGGGCAGCGGGCAGATCCTTGCTGCTGCTCCTGAGACAGAGTCACTAAGTCTGCTCCTCGGGACATAAGCCCTCGGGCCCTGAGCTGAGTGCACCTCTCCCTTCCCCTTCTCTTTTCCTTCGCTCCATTTCCCACTCCACAAAGGTATCAAAGAGACTTGGCCAGGCCTCATCTTCACTGTAGTTGCTGAGGTCAGGGCCAATCACCTGAGTGAAGTTAAGGAACATGTTCCAAGTGTCCCTGGAGATGCCCTTGATCCCCGAGGGGTTCTCTGTTAGGAAGTTTAGCCACTGGTCCAATACTGGAGGATTGTTCTGGGTAAAGACTAGTTTCCACAGGGCAATGGCTATTTCCCGATGCAGTGACCGCTGCCCTTCTTCAGAGTCCAGGCCGAACTGAAATGTAAACCGGTAGAGATCCTTGAATTTATCCTCTTGTTTGGCTTCTGTTAAGAGGCTAGGGAACCGTGCACAGATCCCATCAATGCTGTCTGCACTTATTGCTTGGCAGCCATCAAAAAACTCCTTCCTGCAACAGGAAGGAGGGGGCACAATTAATAATTGTAAACGGTATAATTTACTGAGAGGCAATATAGTATCATAATTAAGAGGGTAGCTGTGAGGCTGTCTGGATTTGAATGCCAACTCCTCCGCTAACTGTAGTCCTATTTCTTCATCTGCCGAATGGTGAGAATAGTACCTTACTTCATAGGGTTCTGGTGAGGACTAAACAAGTTAATATGTCAGCTGCTTCTAATAGTGCCTGGTATATGGTAGACAGCTGATAATGGTTCATTCACTCATCTATTCATCTTTCCAAAGCTAAACTCAAAGTCTCCTGCTCCATGTTCTGCTTCCCATTCTGCAACAGTGATTAAGCTGTAGACTCTCCTCCAAGATGGGGAGTCTCTTCCTGTTTTCCTTTTGATTCTCCAGGGGTTGTTTGTTTTTGGAATATTTTTGGTGACTGCCAAGGGAAGTTTTTGGAGCCAAAGATTCTGGATGAACCTGGGTAACTCTGCCACCAGAGATCAAAGTTCCGTTATTAAAAAACAAAAATTGAGTATGTATTTTTAACATCTATATAATAACACTTTTAGCTTACAACATGGTCTCACATTGACCATCATCTCAGAGATTTCTGCAACTGCTGAAGATAGAACGTCTGAGGTCTGTCGAGTAACCTACCCAGGGACTAAAAATTGTATCGAGGGGTTCTCAAAGTCAATTCTTCTTACTTACTTATAACCCAGTGCTCTGGAAACCACACCTTGCAGTGACCCTGCCATGTTGTCTCCCACAAACAACCTCTATAGGGGTGAATGACCATGACAATGTACAGAACTACTAGTTGATAACTAGGGCCAGCTGTCCTTGTTGGCGCATAGGCTGGCTAAGGGTAATGTGCAGAGAGCTAGAAGGGGCAACTGGCTTCATGCAGTTACTGAAGCACATCCCCAGTGGCACTCACTATACTGGCACTCAGTGCCTAACACATTGATAGGTGTACAATAAACATCGAGTGAGGAAGTGAGTGAACTGACAAGTACAGGAGTGAAAGAAAAGATAAAAGTCAAACAGCAGTGGGGCGGGGCAGCAGCGTGGCAACATGGATTATTCCTCATTTAACTTCAGGCAAGGATGGTTGGTACCCAGTTCTTCAGAGGCTGAATAGCTTTAGAGAAATTGGTCAGAAAAAGAAAATAAGATTTACCCAAAACCCTATGAAGTCAACCCAGTTCTATCCTAGCTGGGTACCACTCCTCAATGGTGCTCTCTTTCCCTCCTCTGATCACCTGGTGACATGAAGTACTTGTGACTAACCTGGTGAATTTGCACATGGTAGCAGCCTGGAACTTCCAAGCCAAGAGCAGCACTCGAAATTCCGTGGGGTCCACACATAGGTCATTGCAAAAGCGCTCCATGCCTTCCTCCAAAATTGCATCCTCCCGCTCGTCCTTATAGCGCCTGAACAGTTCTTCCAACCTCTGCAAGGAAGACTCCTCGGCATTTGACTTGGGCTCCCTCCCAGCATCTCCTGAGGATGTTGGCAGCTGGCAGGTCTCAGTAGCAGCCTCTGCCTTCTTGGTCCCATTGACAAGGATATCCCCGCCTGGCTTGCCACAGGCTGGCAGCTGTTCCTCACGGTGGCCTGCACCCCGCCTCCCGTGTGACTTGCTGCTGGGGTCACGGTCTCCATTCTTGCTACCCAGAGTTGATGAGGGATTCTTGCACTTGGTGACACACTGGCCCATGATGCTGGTGGCCTGGCCTCTAGAGTGGCCCCCTCTGGATTGGATGCCCTTGTTGCCACTGGCCCACGTGCCTCAACATGCCATCAGCCAGAGGAGCCAGCCGACCTGGAAGGAAATTAGAGAGCAATCACTGCTGGACAGGGAGACAGAGTATGCAAGCTTCCCTCCAGGGACTGCACACTGGAACACCACTCTGTTTCAATGAGCTAACCATGAACGAGGGGAAATACCCCAAGTTCACCATCACCTCCCTTGCAAGCCCATACCTTCACCTTAGAAATGCAGTGGTTAGAGCACATATGGAGAACCAATAAGGAAAATTCCTAAAATTCTTAAAGGTAACATAGATCACAAAGAAGTTGATTCATGTGCAGAATGCATCAAGGAAGACTACGGTTTTGCCAGAAATATTCCAAAGGAAATTTGTCTTGCCAACTTGCCGTCACATAAGAAAGTTATTTGGACCTGTATTAACCCAGAAGGTACAAATAAAAGGTTCATCTTCTAGTCTCTAATGTCAAAATTCTCGGATGTTCTTTTTAAGTAGGATGAGTAGGAAGAAGGGGTAGCCACATCCAAAACAACTATATAGTTTCATAATGGCCTAAAGATGAGATAAAGAATTTGCAGAGTCAAGACTAACGGCAGAGTCCTAGCCAAATAACAAAGTAAAATTTGTCTTGATTTCTTCAAATTCCTTTCTGGGACCCACCCGCACAGTAGGTGAAATGCCCTTTCTCCACCCTTCCTCTATCCACCTATGGGAGCCATCCACCAAGACTGTTCTCCACGCCAAGGGTCCCAATCGCTGAGCTTCTTTTCTAACCCCCACCCCCAGCAAGGTGGTATGTAGAGGAAAGTCAAGTTCACACTAAATGTGAATGTCCTGTAGGGCCTGCAGGCTTAGTCTTCCAAGATAGCGTCTCCATTTTAAAAGAAGGGCTGATTTACCCAAATACAGTCTCTAAATGACAGAATAACTGCTAGATGAAAAAGAAAAGCCTGCACTGATACATAACAAACATCACAATGATTTATTTATTACTTAAGTAACGAAAAAGTGGCTTTTAGAGAATTGCTAGAAATTTCTGGGCCAGGGATGAGGTGATTTCTCTGAAGACTCTATCTACTCAGACTCTTATTCTTACCTTCAACTAGTCCACTAGAAGATCCATCTAAAATTTAGTACTTATAAAAGTTTGCTACCTGCTATAATAACTGCAGCCTCTGAAATTATAATGTTAATACAAATTTAGACCAGGAGCCAGAAGGATAGTCGGGAAAGCAGACCAAATCAATGTCAGTCCCATGCCTCTCCAGCTCTAGGGTCAGGGACCTCCACAATCCAAATTCAAAGCTCTAAGGAGACTGGCAGTGGGGCAGAAGGGTGCTTTTAATGGAAGGCTGGAGCTTTAAACTTTACCTAAAGAACTTTAGCTTCCTCCAAATAGTGCTTGCATAAATTCAGAGTTATCTTCAAAAGGAATTCTAAGGGTATGTTCTGAGTGTACAAGTTTAAAATGACGACCAGAATCATTCCTGTAGTTACCGGAATCACATTGTATCGGGGTGTGTCCCATTGTCCACCTTCAAAGAGAATACATGACAGACATGATTATACACGCCCTTAAAAAAAGACTCGCAGTTTCACTTAGGTTTCAAAAACACGCTGAAACCCTTAGAAGGGTTTTGGTGTGGAAAATGACAGACCCAAGTAAGTTTTTTAAAGCCTTTTTATGCTTTTAGAATATAGCTAGTAAGCCATGAGCACAACTTGTTACAATTTTAAAAGGTAAGGGGTTAATTCTTAGAAGACCAGCATACAAGGGAAGCAACTGTTCAAGTTGAATTATCTCAAAACAAGCAGGACTATACCATGTGGAGGGTCTGGTTTCCAGATTTGTGTTTCTAAAGACTAAAATGCTGAAAGAAACAAAAGGCCCAAACTTACACAGATCCCACATGCTCACAGACTGGCAACTCTAATTCCCAGGCACGCTGACTCACCAGGCTTTGCTGCTCAGCTCCCGCTGCTGAGGGAAGCCCAGGTACCTGGCAGGATAAGAGGATTTCCTGGTTTCCTACTGACCCACCTACCCCAGGCTACTCACCCCTGCCCCATTGGACAGATGCTGCTTTATATCAGCTTCGTCCAAATACTGGTGCCAAGGCCTTCACATAGGGACAGAACAGATGGGCCTCCCAAGAGGCCCTAATCCATTTACCCAACCAGCCCTCCACGTGAGAGCATCTTTGATTACCTGGCTGAAACCTGAAGGCATTTTACATGCCCAGCAGATGAAAAAAAGGAGGGGAAATCAATTTAGACAGATGATCAATGAGCAAGTGCCAGGAGGCTGGGACCCCTTTCTTCCATTCTGGTCCTTTTCTTTGAAGCAAGTTGTGGTCTCAAGCCAGAAAAAAGTATTTTCAGATCTGATGGTAAGTGTGGTCCCCTGATTCCTCAATGGGCTCCCTTCTTTTGTGTCCCCCCTTTCTTTGGGAAAATAGTTCTGTACCCAGAGATTTCTCAGGCTCAATCATGGTGCTCAGCCGTGTGTCCCAGGGTGGCAGCACTTCAAGTGTTTTAAAGCTGAAAGTTTCCCTGGACCCAGTAGCTGCTGGCTAATAGCTAATAATAGTAGTCATCAATTGCTGAGCGCTTGATACCATGCCAGGCACCATGTTAAGCACTTTATGGACAATAACACTCATACATCCTCACCACAACCCCATTTAAAGACAGGGAAGCTGAGGCACAAAGGAGATTACCCAAGATCACAAGCAGAGCCTGTATGTCTGGCTTGAGAAACCATGACCTTTCACCACTAGGCTGGACTGCTGAGCCCGTCTACATCAGATCACCTCGGGAAAGCCCACCAGTGGATGGGTCCCAAGCTCAGGAGTGTCACCACATCAGTCACGGAGCAGCAAGTTTTACAATTAGCCACTGGAAAAAGAAAAAAAAAAAACATGGTCTGTGCCCTGTGCTAAGAAGGGCATCCTAGCCAACTGCCCTCTCCCAGGCAAGCATTAAGACCGTGACGCAGGCAGGCAAGATGCCGTTAGGCTCAGTCTCACTAGAGGCGGGGACTAGAATTAGTCCAAAGTTCTTAAACCTGTGATGTTTCAGCCCACCAGCATGGTTAAAAGCTTCAGGTCTTAAAGTCCAACTCTGCCACCGGATGTTCGACCCTGATCAAAACCTGAATTTCCTCAACCTGCAAAACGGTATCTACTTCAAAGAGCAGTTGTAAGGATTCAGTCAGGAAACGCAGATAAAGGGTATCTGGCACACACTGTCCTCCACACAGAAAACACTTGATATGACCGCCATTATTAACAGCCGAGTAGTATCTGATTAGCCTGACGGAAGCCCCAGCTTGTCTCATCTGAACAATGGGCTCCAGGCTTTGGCTTCCCCAGGCCCAGAAAGGCCGCCTACCCTTGCCTTGAGTCATGCAGTTGGGTCTTGCTCAAAAACAGTCTCTTGAACTACAGCACTGACCCTGCTCAAATGCACCATTGGTCAGAAATACCTGGGGGAATCAGATCCTCCACAGGATAAGACTTGTGAATGACGCTGAATAAAATCAAGCTGGGTATTTGCTGTGCGCTCTGGATACTCTGAATTGCTGGTCACTCCCTGTCCCTAACGTGGGACAGCCTTCCAGCCAGTTCCAGACTCCATTCCCTTTCCACTAGGTTCCAGCTCTGTAGATCTGCAAAAGACAGGATTTCCAACTTGCTACTTATTTATACTCATTTATACTTGCCAGTGGTCCTCCTGCCACCTCTCTGAAGTGGACAGCCTCAGCACAATCTGGGCACCCCAGAGCCAAATTTCACTAACAGAGCATCATTATTAATGAATACCACTTTGTACTTGTTAGTACATTGTAACAGCTACATATAAATGTAGCTCTATGAAATAATTACCCCCATTTCATAGGAAGAGAAATGGAGGTACACGGAGGTCAATGAGCTATCTAGGAAGGGAGAAACTGGAGCAGGGTAATTAAGAGGAAGAGCTCTGGGAGCAGACAAACCTGGATCTGAATCATGGTGATGGACCAACTTTGTGACCATCAGCATGTAACTTTAATGGGACAGTTGTACCTCATGGTCTGGTGGATAGAGTAAATGAGATAACCCATGTAAAATCCTCTGCCCAATATCTGGCTCATAAAAAGTATTCAGTAAGCGGGCTTCCCTGGTGGCGCAGTGGTTGAGAGTCCGCCTGCCGATGCAGGGGACGCGGGTTCGTGCCCCGGTCCGGGAAGATCCCACGTGCCGCGGAGCGGCTGGGCCCATGAGCCATGGCCGCTGAGCCTGCGTGTCTAGAGCCTGTGCTCCGCAACGGGAGAGGCCACAACAGTGAGAGGCCCACGTACCACAAAAAAAAAAAAAAAAAAGTATTCAGTAAGTGTTAGCCTTTATTACAGTTGTTATTATCACAAAGTTGGTGACAGAATCAAGTCTCCCTTCTAGAACAGTGCTCTTGTCAGCAGCCAGGCCAGGTCTCCTGGGGCAGTTCAGGTATGCTGACGCCCCAAATGCCCACAGCAGCTTTCCTGTTCTTGCAGTAAGTGATTCTGCTCTCCTGTTTCAGCTAAAGTGGCATAAATGAGTGAAATGGAGCGAGAGACAAGGAGGGGTGGGAAGAAAGGAAAGGTAGGAAGAAGAATAAAGGGGGCAAAAAAGCCACAAACCAGGAAACCTACTTCTATGCACAGCCTTGGGGGTTTACTTGAAAGACAGTAGCTGCTCAGCTTATGCTGGACTAAGACCAGCCTCCAGCTTTCCTCCTTCAGTCTCAGCTCTAACTTCGCCTCTCTCCCTCACTGCTTCCGTGCATCAGCTTCCAGCCTCCCTCCTCCCTGTGCCAGCCCCAGCTGCTGTTCCTGGGGATGGGCTTGGCTGCCTGCCTGGCCCCAGGCCTGGCGCTGGCACTGCTGGGCTGAGGGCAATCCCATAGGTCGTGGTCCCAGTGGATGCTCTGGCTCCAGACAGCCACAGAAGAAGAGATCAGGAAACTGTTTCTATCTCTTAGGCAGTTCCATGAAGTGACAATCAGGCAAGTCCCTGTCTTCTAGGACTTACTATCTACCTCTGAAACAGAATCACCTCTTATGGAACAGAAGGACCACGAAGGGCTAAACCACACAAAGACAAATGGAGACAGGAAAGGAGAGTGGAGTGTGGACCAGTGTTATGGAAAGAAAGGTGGAGGGACTGATGAAGAGAAATTGGTATTTGTGGGACATGGGGCTATATGCTTCATATACATCACCTTCAAACCTCACAACAACCTAGGTTGTCAGAGCCCTTACAGATTAGGAAACTGAGGTTTCTTAACCACTAAGCAGTGGGACTAGGAAATAAAACCAGTCTGTCAAGACTCCAAAATCAACTCATTGGGAAAGTTTCACAGAGAAGATGAGTCTTGTTCTGGGTCTTCAACGACTGGAAGCATAAAGTGGAAAGGAAGGAGGCAAAGGACCAATCTGGTTGGTCCAAGCTGAGACAGGATTTTAAAATGTTTATTAATAGCAATACCTTTTAAGTTACATGTATGTATTGAGGAGACTGACATGAATTATCACATTTAACCCACTACAACTCTATGAGGAAGATAATATAACCTTCACTTTACAGAAGGGGAAACTGAACAGAGTTTAAGGGATTTGGCCTGAGGTGATACAGGAAAAGGGATTCAAACCCAGGCAGTGTAATTCTAAACTCACCATTCTACATCACTGGCCTCACTACATACTGTTCTTTGCTATGACGTATGCCAAGATATATCCTTCCCCTAAGGAGATGATGATGGCCCGAGAAGAAAAGATACATTTTCAACACCTGATTGTATTCCAGAGGTACTGAGTCAACAGGAACAGAGTAAACTCCCAGGAAGCCTTCAGTTCTGGTCTGGGATCTCCCTACGCAATGTGTGTCCTTGAACAACTCCCTTAACCTCTCTGAGTTTGTGTTCCCATGATTAAAATCCTTCCAAGTCTCATACTCTAGGACTACCTTCACGTTTTGGTATCCAGAAAGGCTGAAGTTCTATATTTGCAAGCCTTCTGAGGACAGGCATTTTGCCTCCTCAGTGAACAGCACTCATACTTCTTGCCCAAGCCTGTTAGAGCCAAGGGAAAATGAGAAGTCCAAAAAGACACAGAAAGCAGAGTAACTCCAATCTGAACAAGAGGTAAAAGATTACACTGTTTTTGCAGGCTTCCCTGTCCTAATCATCTTAGTTTGAACTCTGCAGGGTCAGGAATAGGCCCTGACATATGGAAAACAGAGCAAGCTGGCTCACTGTTATAGCTGGCTGGGAGCTAAAAAACAGGGGGCAAAGGCTGGCACCAAAATCCAGTGTCAGCAAGGCACTTGAGATCTACTCTGATGACTTCCTTGAGAGAAGGAACTGATCCAATCCACCCCTCCCATTCTGTTCCCATCTAGAGTCTGTTCAGAAGCCACAAGCCACTGACGGATGTTGGTGCTTCTACATATTAGAGCAATAAGAAACCCGTCTTTCCAACTTCCATCCAAACAGTTTGTATAGCTAGTTGGGCGCATGATTTTACTTCTTACTATATATGCCAGACATCCAGCTGCCAGGGGCTGAAGCAGCTGTACTAGCAGAAGCCACCCCCCTGGGGAGTCTCAAAGCAAGACCACAAGAGCCTCTTGATCCCAACTGGCAGCTGCAGATGCTGGAGGACCTGAGAAGAAGTTGGGAAATGGGTGGTGTCCGTTTATAAACTACTTCCTAGAAAGTAAACTTGCAAAAATAACAAGGAGGAAAGACTGAGGGAGTACTTTAAAATGCAAAGTCTTCTGCTTGCTGTCATTTGGAACTTGGGACTTACAAGAGCACCTATGGAGACTAGGTCTTACCTAGAGCTACTTGGGAGGAAAAGCTGTTTCCCCTGCCAAAGCAAATGAGACGCGTCTGCTATTTTCATGCTTTTAAAAGACTTTCTGTCCTAAAATGTACTGCAAGCAGCAAGCTAAAACAGCAGTCCCACTTAGGGAGGGGTAGGAACACAAGACTTTCTACATCAACCAATCTCAAAAGTGCGGAAAGAGGGATGGAGGAAAAGAGGGAGGGAGGAAAGGTAAAATTTTTAAAAAAGAAAATAAACCAATTGGTTATATTTCTGTAAAATAATCTTAGGTCACAGGACTAAGACCAGTCAGCTTTGTACAGAACAATTTTTCTTTTCTTTTTAAAGGGTTCTTACATTCCTTATCTTGCATACTTCAGATATACTAAGGATATATATACAACTGAGGTCTGAGGACTGAAGTCAGTGTGGGCTCGCAAGAACAAATACTACTTGCCAAATACAACCAAGCCAACACACACGTATACTATAAAGTTTCCAAATACCAAAGAATCAAGCATTTTTGGCCTCTGGGTTCCAGAGCTGCTACATGTTTAATCCCACATGACTCAAAACAACCAGAAAAGAGCTGAATTATTCTACTGACCCACACTTGGAATATTTTTGCTGTCACTATTGATCTGGACACATCAGACGGTCCACTTATTTGCAAAGTACGCATCATTAACGGGCACCAGATTTCTAGGTTGGCCACTCTTTTTGTTTCTGCACCAGTTTTTTCATTAACTAACTTTCCCTGTTTAAAACCAGAGGGCTGTCTTGGATTTGTGCTCTGTGGTACCATAATAAAAATGGCATGCCTGCTATATGCTATACTCTTTATCTCTGGTTTTAGCTTGGAGCTTATCTTCAGGACACAGCCTCATTAGGCCATACTGAAGGTAAAACCACTGGTTAGGCACCACTTCCCGGCTTCCAATTAGCATATGGATACCAGCCACCCTGGAGGTCTACCAGATTGTAGATAATTAGTTCTCAAACACCCAATTACCACATCAACTGTTCACCTTTCAGTCACCTGAGGAATTCAGTAGTCAATAACTGACTGAAAAATAGTTAACTGGAGTTGAGATTTGGTCTTTGCATCTAAGTAAAAGAAAGGCAAGAAAGGAAACTATGAAATGAGTCAAAAGATGAGAAAGGAACCCAATATAAAGATGATAAATGAGTGCATGCAGACGTCTTAGAGGGGCACCTGAATGACCACAAATGTACAGATGTGGTTTCTAGAGCCACATTTCTTCTAAATAGAGCTCAGGTTCATCACATGGTAACTAATGTGATGTTTGCTAATTCTTTAAAAAATAAAAAATCCAAATTCATTAAGGCCACATTTATCAGTTTTTTCCTAGAGGTCCATGACGGAAGCTGGCTGCTCATGCATAGTAGATGGAAAGAGGAAGAGGGACAGAAAAAAGACCTGTATAATAAAAGAATATCCGTTTTCAACCACATCAGTAAGCTGGTCAGAGAACTAAGGCCACTAAGACTTTCTCACCCACTGCCAAATTCAAAAGCATTACATAGTTATTCTGTAAAGTTTAGAAAATACGGAGAAGCATAAAGAGAAAAAAGTCCCCTAGTATCCCACCACCTACAATTAATATTTTGGAGTATATCCTTTCAGTGTTTTATATAAGCACATATGGATGGCACACCTAAGTAAACACATGCATGTTCGTACTGCACACATTGAACTTTTAAACAAAACTGGGTTGTATTGTACATTCTATTTTGCAAATTTTTCCATTTTATACTTTTTCATATAAATCTCTCAT